CCCATTTCATTATGGGTCCTCGATGATTAGGCTCGAGAGTCTTGGATTTTGGCTTAATAGAAGGATCTGCCTCAACACCTGATTTACCAGACTTGGGGTCTGGCTTGCCAGATTTGGTCTTAGAAGTTCTCTTGGTCCTTTTAGATTTATTCTTGGGTGACCCAGAGAGAATGCATTTGGGACTAGAAAGGTGATGCTTTAATTGTCGCAACAGAGAAAGACATTTGCAATTATGAAAATATTTTTTATGACAAAACGATTCATTAGATTCATAAACCTTTCTATTATTATTACAATCGTTCCTAGCATTGTTTGTTCGAATGAACTCCATATCTAGCTCCGATTGTGTATTGAAATTGGCCTTTATCTTCTTTGGCCTTCCTTTCTTCCCTTTAACTCCTTTGGCCTTCAGAGGCCTCTCTAAAATAGAGGAATTAAATTTAAAATTAGATGCATGCTTTCCTTTCTGTTCCGGAGTGAACTTAATAGGCTTTTAAAATCTAGACTTTGGAAATTTAGATGTAGAGGTGGTGGGTTTAGGTTCCTTAGCCTTGTTTTATTTCTCGAGCTCAAGAGAAGACTTGGCTTTTAAACACATGTCCACGAAGTCAGGACACACGGGAATCTTTTTCCTCTGCTTCATAACTGGAGTAGATTTATTAAAGACCCCACTTTGAAGTTTGAGAACTTCTTGTTCTGGCTTCACTATCTCAGTCTCAATCTGCTTCTCACTCAAGTCTACCTCTGATTCGGAGTTAGAGTTAAGAAAAACTCTTTGTGGACTCTAAGTGGTGGAGGTTTCATTGAGATTATGAGATCTTTGTGGATAAGTATCAACATCTTCATCCTTCTTTTGCGTCGATCAGGAACTTACAAAAGTCTCTTATATTTTTTATAGTACAACTCATCCTTGACAATAGGGCCTTTACACTCTTTAGAGTAGTGGCCCATTCTTTCGCATCTGAAGCATCGGACCGCATGCTTCTTCTTCTCATGTTGTTCTTCCTTCTTTATCAATTGAGAAGGAGGGTTCTTTGGCTCAAAACTTCTTTCTCTTCCCCTATCGCTTCTACTTTCTCTCTTATCAAATACTCTTTTTCCAAACTTCCTCTCAAACTCCATGGTAATTAGAGCCAAGGATTGTGCAAAGGCACTAATGTCGTCATCTTCAGATCTTGAAACTCTGTCTTCTTCATCACTCTCTGTCATCAGAGCTTTCTTCCCTCTTCTTCTATCCTCTCTCGATCTTCTTTCTCTAGATGGTTGGTTGGATCCAGTCTCTTTGGAGTCAGAGACAAGAGCTAGCGTTCCACCCAGAGGGACCTTGTTCTTCTGCACCTCTTGTTCTTGTGTCTGCAAGGTGCCGTAGACATCATGTAGCGTCCACTGTTCCAAATCTTGATTTGCTTGAAGGGACATCGACAGGTTTCTCTATTCGTCATTCAACCTTTTCAAGAAGAGCATGTTGTTCTCTTCTTGTGTTCTAATCACGTCGTACTTCTTGCACTTGTTGATTAGAGTGTTAAAACGATGATACATCCGCTCGAGAGACTCGTCGAGGATGGCCTGAAAACTATTGTACTCATTTAGACATTAAGCACGACTGTTCTTCTTCATTTTGATCCTGCCTTCAAGATGATTGGCCAACTGATCCCATAAATCCTTAGCGGATTCACATGCATTCAAGGATTGGAAGATTTCATTTGGGAGAGCCATTATCAAAAGCCTTTTGACCTTTTGATCGACCTCCACCCTTCTTTTGTCTTCATCGTCCCAATCTCTTCGGAGTTTGGGAACGCGTCTTGCAGGAATTTCAACTGTATCTCCAGCAGGTGGAACCCTAGGGATTAGGGTTATGGGAACATAAGGGCTGTTAAGAATGGATTCATAGAGTTCAAGATCAAGACCTTCATAAAAGTTTATCATCCTGATCTTCCATTGGGGGTATTCATCCTGAATGAGAGTATGAGGTTTTGGTGAGGGAACCGACACTATACATCGAGTTCCAAGATTTATTAGACATTTTAGATTTGTTTTGGAGAAAAAGCAAATGGGAAGTTTTAAAGATTTCAAAAGATTCTGAACTTTAAAGACTTACAGTTTTTGAAGAATACTAAAAGCAATTGTTTTTAAAAAATAGATCTATGATCTGGAATGGAAAACGTTTATAAAACAATTAACCAACAAAAGAAGATTATCCTATTGGATATAGATCGATTAATCAATTGATTTTGATTAGCAGACTTTGATACCAATTGTAGGAACCCAGATTCCTCTTAAGTATCAAGAAACATAGTTAAAGAGAGTTTCAGTGGAAGCAAGTACTGTGTAAATGATCTAGGTTAACATTTTTAAACAAGAACAGTGAAAGCTTGTTGAATAAATCAGTTGCTTTATAGAAAAAAGAGTATAAGAACAATATCTCGATCTAGCTTAGTATTCTCTCAAGAATTATCTATAATAGGAGCGTATGCAAAGATGGCAATTCTTCAGGTATTTTAACCTAAAGAGGACACCTCCTTTTATACATCTATGTAAAACAGAATCTCCTGAATTCTAGGCTTCAAACTCTGATTTCTTGTTCAGCGTCCTCAGCCTTCACGTTCCTTGGAATGTGGAACTACTTGTGTGTACATGGCAGATCCTGATTAGAGTATTGGAGATAAGTCTGAACTGCTTGTGCGCAAATCAAGGGAGTAAGAGACTCAAAGGCTCTGCATGTATTGTGCAGAGGCTGTGTCTGGAGTGAAGCGCTCTATCAAGTACTTATGCTTTTCGACGCTTAAGTCTTGATCTTCCTCTGGGTCGAGCACGACTCTGTATGTGAGACACTTAGCTCTTTGAATAAGAGCTTTGTCTCTTAGTACCTTCTGCATAAGAGCTCTTGGTCCAGACTGCTTCAATCGACCAAGTCCTAAATGACTAGAGTAAGAGACTTCTTACTTACACTTTTACAAGTGGGGTTCTAACATAACTTTAACTCTATGAAACAATAAATGAAAAATAAGATAACAAAAGTTGAGACACGAAATAAAATAAGCTAATTATAAGTGAAGAAATGAGTTTAAGTAAAAAGTGCATATCAATAGTATATTAAAACATTGAAATAATATATTAACATAATAATTATCATGCTTATTTAGTGGTTATCATGATCAACAAATATGATGAGTTTTAAATAATTTATTTTCTTAATAAATCTGTAATATAGATTCAACTTATATCATAAAAAACTGCTGAAAACTACTTATAGGGCTTGCAAATGTTTCACGATAAAAAAAAATTAAAAGCATAGTCATTATCCTATAAATATTGAACTAGCCATCAAACAATATCATAATTTATAAAATGGTAGAAAACTTCAATTTGAATCTAACAAACAAATAGTCAAACACAAGTTATTTACAAAAACAATACGAGTTAGCCCCCCTCTACCAATGGGATGTATGAACCGATTTACCTCCCTCATGATGACCATGAGACTAGTGTATGGGGGCTCCAAATCCTTTGGTTGTTTTTATTTCTTTTAGTAAGAATAGAAACAATAAAAAAGATAGAAAAAACCACTTAGGTACTAAACCTAGGCGTGGGAATGAGGCGGGGAGGGGACGAAGACTTCAATCCCCATCCCCGATCCCTCATTTCCGTTGGGGAATATAATCACATCCCTATCCCTATCCCTATCCCTAACAGGTGAGGATTTTCCCTTGTTTATTTAAGCTATTTTAAATCAAATATGCTAGACACCACATATGTTTAAACCTCACATATTTCCAGTAAACCTAAAATTGAAAGGAATTTAATGTAATATAAAAAATCATATAATAATTAATAACTTAAAATTAAAAAAAAATCAATTTAATCCAAAAAGAACTTAACGTCACACGTACCCAAACATATCGAGTAATATCCAAAACCATATAGAGTAATCACGTGTCCCCATCCCCGATTTAGCGGGGAATCCCCATTTGGGACTGAAAAAAATATGAGTTCTGAAATCTGAACATCCAAAACTGACTTTAGAGAAGATATTTGGGTTCGGGTTGGATTTGATTTTTGGCTACTCGACCCTATCTTTTCATTCAATTAAAAAAAAATTCCCATCCAAAAACCCGAAATATATATATAATTTTTATATATTATATAAATATATTTATTTATCCAATTATCATTCGAAAATCCTAAATCCTAGTCGACCGTACTCTTTTCTAAATACTAAACATACTATTGATTTCATCAATCCTCTCTATCGATTGAATTCATTCTCAAAATTGATCGAATATATATATTTTTGCATATAACTAAACTCGAACACGACTGACCCCAACTCGAAATCCGATCAATCCTAACCTATAGCAATCTGAAATCTAAAACTTAGGGCTTGGTTTCCAAATCTGAAATCCGCTTGGGTTTTTGGTTTGCCCACCCAATGCACACCCCTACTAATTATTTCGTACTGCCGCTTGAAAATATTTGTAGATACACCTCCCAGTTACATGATTATCAAGCTACAAAAAAAAATCTGAACACTGGATTTAACAAACAATTTTATCATAGTTGATCACAAAATTTAGATGATTGAGTATCATATAATTAGGAGCTGTTTGGTTCAGTTTTGAAAATGAAACTGGAAATAAAAATGATATGATAATGACAGAGAATGAAGATAAAAATGATTATTCATTTTCCTCAATTTAACCTAAAATGAGAATATGGTCTTTTAGAAAAATGGTTCCATTATATCATGTAAAACCAAACAGTTTCATTTTTTATTATATCTCAAACCAAACACCCTATTAATTTCCAAACGTACATCCAAACACGTGATATCCAATTGTGCACTCCGAAGATTTAGATTATGTTCCAGGACTGGGATTGCTTTCATTCAAAGTCAAAGGTAACAGTATGCAAACAATTGATAATCTAGGGACTATTATTGTACTTTTATCAAAACCAGCAAACTATTGGAGACGCCAATTCAATCGAGAGTCCCTAATTGAGATTGCGATTGAGAGTCATGTTGAAGTTCTTGTCCAAAGTGAAGATCGAATTCAATGCCCTAGATACACGCACGGCGGCGTGTATGGAATTCTTGGCTCAGTGCAATGCTCGAACGGCCAAGGAATCCAATCCTTCCTGCCAGTTGTTGGTCAAGCGCCGGACTGACAGCCACCCACCGCAGATCTCCGTCACATTCGTAAATGGAGTGGAGGAGGTTTTTGATGCCACCTCCACACCTGCACAGACCATCCGGAAGATGATTCTGGAAAAAGGTCTGCAGCTCGAGACGGAGCAAATGTTTCGTGAAGCTGGCGAGAAGTGGCCCGTTATTATTCCAGAGGAAGAGCTCCATCAATCGTTCCCTGGTACTAAGGTAGAAAAAGTAATTTGATTCTCGTTTCTGGTTTTGTTGATTATTACTCCCTCCTTTCATTTACAATTCGAATTAAGTAATTGTTCTTCAAGTGATGTCCATATCACCTGAAATCATAGTTGCAGGGTACTATTAGTTAGTAGACTCACATAATTCATATGCTAACGTCTATCTTATTATAAATGATCTGAGATGGGATGTGGCTTAAAGTTGCTGTGCAAAGTTATCTTTTAACAAAAAGTTAGTAGTTTAATTGACCTCAATGAGAATGAAAATTGGAAACTATTGTTAGCCTCACTTTTTCACATGCAGATGGCTTTCAAGGAAACAATCATTTACCCTCCTCAAACCCTAGCCTATGTGGGCTTTACTGGTTGGTTTGGTTTGGGTTATTTGTCGAAGAATCAATATCGATTTTGTAGTTGGATTATATAGTTGACGTAAATAAAATAATCCGAATCTTTCTTTTGGAATGTATAGCTGAGGTATTCTGCTGTGGTGGCTTTGAAGTTACTATGATGCCCTCTTCATCGACTTCCCATTACTGCAAAGTGAAACTTAATGTGATGCCTTACTAAGTATATAGACCAAATGAACCTAGTATATCCCACATTCCCACTTGAGGTGGGAATTTAGGAGGGTCAGATGTACGCAAACCTGACCTCTACCTCAAAGAGTAGAGTGGCTGTATGTTAAAATTATCTATGTTAATATTATTGTCTAAGGTCAATCTGTGACAAGAAGTATATACATACATATGCGAAATTGAAATTTGAGGTAGCCCAACCTCCTTGTAGCTTCATCCTCTGTGGCTTGTTATCAGCAGGGTGGAGGCTTCCATAATCACACAATTTGTGTAGGATTCCTTTATATAAGCTTTCTTTTTCAATTTGTATTTTTGTTCTTGTTTCACTTTTTGCCCAAAATTTTAAAAAATTAATTGAATTTGAAAGTGTTTGGCTAAGCTGTTCTGAGGTGACTACCGACTAGTGTTCATTGAGCATTACTTCTTATCTTGGTGGTAGCAATTCATTGTTTAAATATACTCGAAACTTCATTATTAGTTGATGCAGCTTCTTTTGGATGTTGAGAAATGACTTATAAATGGAAAAGCTGCACCCTGAGCAGCACAAGTTTCCTGTCTTATGGCGTTTATGTGTTTCACACTTTCACTCATGCTAAAGTATAGCACTAGATTTGATTCCGTTGGCATCTTCTTTTCTTATTATCGTGGGTGCCCGGGCCATCTTGCATGCATCTTGACTAATCCCTTGGACCTGAAGTTAACTCTAGGCAGACCTCCAGTGGCCCTGATGGGACTCGAACTGGCGACCACTGTGGAGTAAACCCAAGGACTTATTGGTTGAGCTACCTCTAAGGGTTATTCTGTTGGAATCTTGTCATTGCATGTAAAGAAAAGTATGGGGGCTTCTTGTATCTCAACTTAATCAGCTGATGTGAAGCTAGATGAACTATCAGGAACACTGGAACTTGTTTGAATTAACAAATAAAAAACCAACATTTGAATAAGTAACTATATAGCTTTGTAATCAAAAATCACTTTTTGGGATCAGTCACCAAGCAATTGGAACAAGGATGTGAAAGTTGAGAGACAATTACCGGTCTAATCTTTTTGTATGGAGCCATGCTGTGAAAAACCTATCATTCCTTTTTATGGGACACCAACGATCTCTTGCATCATAAGGTCATCAAGGAAGCGAAAGCAATTGGCGTGCTGTATAACATTGTGTGTGTGTGTATTGGGTTGATGGTATTGTTGCTTTTGATAAGGAGGATAAGAAGGGTTTTGTCTCTAAGGGTGGAGATAGGAAATTTGAAGGATTTTAGAAATTTAGTATATTTATGTTTATAATTGTAGATAGCAGTATTTTATCTCAAAATAGTGCATGCTTCCATTTGTATGTTTGTTTCTTTCTCAGGTTGAACTTTGTTGCTTACTTCTAACTCGTTTTTCACATTTTAGTACTATCCGTCTTGTTTTCAAGTTTTCTTTCTTGTTCTTCTTATGAGAGACTTCTTTTCCACAAATCTGTTACCTTTATCCTTTTTTTTTTCTCGCAAACTTTGTACAAGCCAGGGTCTTCATGGAAACAACCGCTCTACTCTTTTAGGGTTGAGGTCAGGTCTGCATACATCTTACCCTCTCCACACCCCACCTCTGCTGAGATTTAACCGCGGATGATAGACCAAACAAGCCCATTTGAAAATTGTGTGTTACTGCTATGTAGGCATACCAAATTATTACCTCCGTTGTTATTCTGGATATCGGTATGTGTGCACATGTTCATTGTTGTAGGTTTTCCATCTTGATATGATCAAATGTATAGCTTTCTGTATTACCATCTAAGGGCATGTTTGTTAGCAGCTTAATGATACTCACAACTTATTCAATCAACTATATATGACTTTTTGGTAGTGGCTTAATGATATAGAGTTTGGCTTATTCAATAAGCTTTTAAGGGGAAGCTTTATGCAGAAAGTCAAGTTTTTTCCAAACTTGCATCTCCCAATAAAAAAACACGCTTCTTCAATCTATGAAAAAACCTTCCCAGTCTTTACAGACAGATTAATTCATCCAGACAACTTTTATCCACACAGGACTTGATCGAAAACCAACCAAACAATCCCTAAACCATGGTTTGTTAGACTTCTTCTAGGGCAGGAAATGAACATCAAAACTATTAAGAAATAACCATGAATAACATCATCTGAAAGCACATAATTTCTAGATCGATGGATAACATGATTTCTAATGGAGTTTAATGCCTTCCTTTTTTATGCTTTTTTTCTTCTTCCGAATTTATTTCATGTCTATTTTCTCATCTATGACATAAGTTTAACAGCATTTTGTCCTTTTATTTTACAGCCAAGGAAAGCTGAAGAAAAGAAGCAATAGATGAATAACTATCCACTTTGATAAAGGAATGAAGTGGAACAGGATTAACATGTGGTATGTGGATGATATTTGCTTCATGTTTTCAGGGTATTAAACCAAGGGTTTTTGTTTTGGAATCAACATGAACATCCCTTTTGTGTTTCAACTTAATACTTGCGCTTCCAGTTTAGTTTATCTTTTTGGGCATTAACTGTAACTTTCCAATTGAGTAAAGAATCATGCAGTTTCTGTCACTTGAATAGTAAAAAAAACCTAACCACATGGCGTAGGGTTTAACGATGGTTGGATGTACTTGTTAATAGGCAAAGAAATGCCAAACCCACTGGGGACTTTTAAAGAAGTAGAATAAGCCAAGCCAAACCAAACCAAACGAACCCAGTATACCCAATATAGAGGCAGTGTCTGCCGGTGACCATGCTTCTACCGCAAGGGATAGATTGTTTCCGTGAAGACTTGGAATATACAAGTTATAAAGAAGAAGAATGGGTCCGGTTATAACTGGGAAAGACCAGTGGCTTTGTTTGAAGACCTAAACCTTTGTATCATGTCATTTTGCATAGTTGTATGTGTATGTGCACATGGGCATGAGAATGTGAGACCTTATCAAGCCCATTGTTGGTATGCGTCATCTTGATATCGTACCTTCTATGTATCTAGTGGTCCTGTTGATTTGTCCCAAACGGTAGGGGGGTGGGCGTAAGCAAAAGTGAGGTTTTCGGTTTGATATACCGTCTCATTTACATTCCCATGATGTGGGACCGGTGTCCGTAGTGGTCCCGTTGAACAGCAGGGGGTGGGCGTAAGCTAAAGTGAGGTTTTGGGTTTGATTTACCTTCCCATGATAGGGAACTGGTGATATCATACATTCTACGTCCGTAATGATCCTGTTGATCTATCCTGGAGGTGGGCATAAGCAAAAGTGAGGTTTTAAAACGTTATTTACAAATAAATCCTATGGAATCCTTCATGAAATTTTAAATCCAATGTTTGTAGAATTTAAATTCTAAACTTTCATTTAAACCAAACACGAGACTGAAATGGAATTTGACACCGGATCCCACCAAATCCCGTAAACCATACGGCCCTAAAAGATGTCAATATGGAATACAAAAAATCAAACCAAACAAGCTCAATATGTCTCACTCGGAGGTGGATTCTCCGGTACCTGATTTTATTTCAAAAAGTAGAGCAGTTGTTTTTATAAATATGTTTAACAAAAATAGAATATAAGAAGAAGCTTGAAAATAATAAATGAATTGCTGAATATGTAGTGACGAATGAGATATTGCCTTTCGGATGTCTAATAATAACATTTACAATGAAAATACCATTAAATTGTAACACCTCTCAGGGTACTACATTTCTGATTTTCAGTTAACTTTTCAACACAATTTAATTGTGGAAAATATTTCTAAAACACACTTTTAAATATAATTTGGGTATTTTACAATTAATTGGTTAAGAATTAATGAATATTTTAAAATATACTGATATTGATATATTTTATTACATACAATATAACACATATGACATATCTATCTTTCATAAACTTATTCTTTTTCCAAATCCTTGAACTGCTCAATCTATGATATGTGAAAAATAAGCAACAAAATTACTGAGTAATTGTACGAAATTTTTTTCAACGATTTCTTAGTTATGAACATTTCAGTGTCAATTATTATAACAGTTAATCATTCGTCATTTATTTCCTCGTATAAATACTTCAATGTAATTAGTTGTAATGTCTGCTCGTTAAAACTTAATGATTTTGAATCTCTCGTTACAGAACCAAGACCTTATATACGACCCTTTGTTCTGGTTTAGGGACGAAGCTATGGTATATGTTTTTCTTTTTTTTTTGGAGTAAACTTTGGAATTGTAATCCAAAGTTCTAATTTGAAATTCAACATCCGCGGAAATTGACAAGATTGATTTCTATAAATGCATAACTTTTTTCTGCTTTGTTAAAAAATGATTGGGTAACTATTAGGGTGCGTTTGGTTTGAGGGATTTGGAGGGATTTGGAGGGATTTGGATTTGAAATCCATTCCCTTCCCTTGTTTGGTTTGCTAAATGGGCTGGATTTTAAATCCAGTGTAGTTTTTAAAATCCCGTAAACAAGGGATTTTGAAATCCATTGTAAATGGGCTGGATTTTGAAATCCAAATYCGGGCTCCTCTTCCACGCTACTTCTTCTCGCACAAATTCCCCATTTGTCTTCCGTCTCCACCATCGTCGCCCACTGCTCTCGTCTCCCACCTCTCGTCGCCCACTGCTCTCGCC